AAAGCCTCCCAGTAGCCCCCCAGCCCCCGTAGAAGCCTCCCAGTGACTCCCAGTAGCTCCCCAGCCCCCCTAGAAGCCTCCCAGTCCCCTCAGAAGCCTCCCAGTAGCCCCCCCCAGTCCCTCCCAGTTAGGAGGAGGGGAACTGGCTGAGGAAGGTGCTGAAGTCCAGGTCGCCCAGGGAAGGCAGCGAATCCTCGGGGGGGGCCCCCACCCCCAAATCGGGGCCCCCCCCCCACCCGGGGCCCCCCCCCCACCCCGGGCCCCCCCCCCCCCCCCCCCCCCCGAGTCCGCCCGACTGGGTCTGGGTGGGGATTCTCGGTTTTTTGGTTTGCTTTTTCTTCTTTTTAACACAGAAGCGACGCCAACATTCTCAGGGTCAGCAGGCCCGGCGGGGCCACCCCGGCGAGGATCTGCCGCGGAAGCGCCCCTCGCCTCCTTCTGCGAAGCGGGAGCTGAGCGGCGGGAGTGGACCCCGTCCCAACTGGGGCGCGAACCGCAGGCGCCTCGGGTCACGGGGGAACCCTGAGGCCTGGGAAGGAAGAGGGGTCTCACCCCCCGCATCACCGCCGCCAAACTGCTTCAAGTTCGAAACGCAGCTATTAGAAAAGCCACTGTCAATTTAGCACTGCATCGCCAGCGGATCCCATCCAGTTGTATCAGCTGCCATGTTGTTTAACGGGAAAATTCACTCTTACTCTAGTTTCTGTTAACGTCAAAACCAAAACGCCCTATGGGAACGTAACCTCTACTACGACTGGACAGCCGCTTGCAATTTTCTTAACATTTCAACTACAGAGTGAAATTCTGCACTCGCACAAACTGGTGCCACCATCTTGTCTGTCATTTAATCATAGAATCATTTAGGTACGCGAAGGAGCCGTATTTGATTTGCAAAATCTTTATTACGGGCGATGATGCAATGCATTTCTGTGCAGAGACATCCAAGCTACCTCCAGCAGCAGCAGTAGTTGAGCCATGTGAGCAGAGCGATTCGCCTGGGGCTAACCAAGGAGGAAAAGAGCGTTATCGCGGGCAGAACACCCTGCTAAAATAGATACAGGCTGCTTTGGTCCTCAACTAAACACGACAGGCTGCACCGCACCGACTGGTGTGGACGTACCAGCCATACACCTCTGGCCCTGAGGTGAGTTTATGAGAGGTGGCAGCCAGGAAAAAGAAACTACAGAGGATTTTAAGTACACTTACAGGATAATTAGCGGAGTAATTAATCTATGGATAGTATCTTATGAGGGAACAGCACCTTACTGGACAGCCAGCGAGAGAACTCTAGGCTGTATGGTATTGTACAATGGAGTATTTGCAAATACGCTGCAAAGCCTAAAAGCCAGGCACCGAAATTGGCACCAGCTCCCGACATAACGCACGCATCCCATAATGAGCAGCTGGAAAAGTTAAAAGCCGGCAGCACTGGTTCCCAGCTGCAAGCAGCTGCCCGGAGATCAGTAATTCAGAGATTTCCCCTGTCAGCCTTAACTCCGACGGCGCTCGGACGCGAGGAGGAGGCAGCCGTGCCTTCACCGCTCCCCTGCGCCTCCCCGCGCCCTCCCCGCAGCGAGGAGCCGCC